GAATTTGGCAAACTCAGTCTCTAGTCGGTCCTTGTGCAACCGAGTAGGAAAGGGAAGCTGTGGTACATACTCCTTCACCACTGGTTGCGGTTTAGGAGCAGGCACCTCAACCTCCTTCTCCATTTCTTCCTGGTTAGCTGGAAGTGCTGAAGCAGGGGTCTCTCTCTCCTGTGCCCGCACGGGTGGATCTGCAGTCATCTTGCCACTCCTGGTAGTGATGGCCTTGCAGTGCTCATTTGGGTCCTGCGGATTAGGGATGGTCTGACCAGGTAGAGTACCAGGAGTCCTCTGAGCTACAGCCTGGGCAACACTCCCAAGCTGAGTCTGTATATCCCGCAGCACAGCCTGTGTGTTTCTCTGACCAGCTTCTAGCTCCAAGAATTTACCTGAAGCTTTCTCCATGAACTGCTCGATGTTATAGAACTTGTTTGCACTGGAGGTGGCCAGAGAACCCACCAAATCTCTCAATTCCGCCATCGGGTCACTCTGTACTGGGGCTGCAGGTGCTGCCCCTGTCTGATGAAATGGTCGCACCTGTGACTGAGGTGGAACTGGCCCCTGTCTGCGCGGGTAGAGAGGCTGCTAAAATTGCCCTTGTCTGGGCTGGTAAGGAGGCCTCTGGAAGCCGGGTGGTCCCTGGGGAGCTGGTGGTTTGGGATTTGCCCCACCCCAGGAGAAGTTAGGATGCTGGCGCCACCCCTCGTTATAAGTGTTGCTGTAGGGGTCGAAGCGCCTGGCATTACCGATGAAGTCCACCTGCTCCTGGGGAGTAGACGACTCCCTCATCGCCTGACAGTCATCCACGGTGTGATGGGAGCTCTCATACCACTGGCAGTGCATCGCATGCGGCTGTCCTGTACCTGCAATCAATCCAGAGCGATCGATAGCTGAAACCAGCTTCGATACCACCTGCACCAAATCAGATGACTGGGTGGCCACAGCATGCACACCCCGCCCTGGTGCTCTTCTCGATCTCCTGGAAGTTCCCCAATCATAGCCCTGCTCTGCCATCTCTTCAAAAAGTTGATTCAGCTGTGGCGGTGTTTTGGTGAGCATATTCCCGCCATAGACCGAGTCAATCAGCTGCTTGTCCTCCGGGAAGAGAGCATGATAGAAGGTGCCCACCTTGAAGGCGTCGGTGAAACCATGGTTGGGGCACTTGAGGAAGAGACTGGTGTATCTCTCCCAAGCATCCCGGATGGTCTCATCTTCGTCTTGAGTGAAGTGGGTAATTTGCTTCTGCAGGTCCGCCGTCTTTGACGGAGGATGATAGCGGGTGAGGAACTTGTCCGCCAGGTTGGGGAACGTGGTGATAGAGCCTGGAGGTCGAGTGTCTAGCCACTCCTTGCCTGGCCCTCCAGAGTAAACGGGAAGTATCTCAGCTGGATGGCATTGGCTGGGACCCCATTTATCTTGATTCCATCGATCAGCTCATGGAATCGTCTCAGATGCGATCGGGGGCACTCCCCCTCCTTACCACGGAACACCACTGAACCGTGCAGCATCGTGATGACCAAGGTGCTCACCTCAAAGTTGTTCGCTGGCACATGAGGATGTTGAATGGGTGACCTCATGTCCGCGGCTCTGGCGGTCCAGTAGGATCCCATGGTCTGCTCCTCTGGAATGACCACATCATGGTCCTGTGGGTCAGCCATCTCCTCTTCGTCAGTGATCTGTAGCTGTGCTAGCGCCTCCTCCGCAGCCAGTCGCGCCTTTAGAGCCCGCTTGAAGTTCCTGCAGATCCGTTCAAGCTCCTGGTCTAATGGTAGTAGTTCTCCTGACTGGCTACGGGTCATGCACTACCTGCACACAACCAGCAACAGCAACCCGTGAAGGCACACAGGTGGAAGAGAAAACAATGTAGTAAAGAAAAAGCTAGAGTAACAAATTTTCACGTTTCCCCAATAACCTAGAGGTTCCCCGGCAACGGCGCCAAAAACTTCACACACTAAAACACAACACCAAACTGCGACCAAGTGTAATCGCAGTCCAGGAATGCAGTAAAGTAGCAAGTTCTATTATCAACCCGTGGTCTAGATCTACTGCCTACTCCGTGATTATCTATTATCTAGCCAACTAAGACGAGTGATTGTTGTTTAAAGTTAAAAGCAGTAAAAAGCAGGAAATGGTTCGGTTTTCTGAAGTCAAGGAAGAGTCACTCGGGAATGAGTCCCCCTAGCTCCTTAGTTAGGTCTCAATTGTAACTACCCTGGGTTGATTTACTGTTGATTAAACTGCGGATGATCCGACAGTAGCTTGGAATCTCTTAAGCTGACCAAGCCCTCTCAGTTAAACTACCCGTCAGACGACTAGTCTTCACCGGGATAGAAAGCTGAGGCTATGAACACAGAACTCCACTACTTGAATTGGATTCCAGTACAAAGCAGTAGATTCACTAACTCTCGTATAGCCAATCCACTACTACCGAATGATGTAGCTCTAACAACCTAATCAGATTATATCTATCTCAGGTTGCAGCAGAAATCAAGAAAAGCTGATCAGACTTCAATCAATTCAATGAATCATGCATCATTCGATTATAATCAAGCAGTATAACAATCCCAAGTCATTACAATCAAAATCCCTAACACATGGAACTAGGGTTCTTCATACCCAAGTGAGAGAAAGTTCTACTCCATAGAGAGAGAGGGGAAAACAGGATACAAAGCAGTCATACTCAAAACAATGGGAAGAATCTGCTCTGGGATGATGATTATCACTCCTATGATGATCTCCAAGCTTGATTTGATGAAACCCAGCTCCAAAACCACTTTTAGGATGAGTTCTTCGCACTTTCTCTCTCTAGGGCTCTGTTTTTGCTCCAAAAGATCGATTCTCTCACTTGTGGCTCGGAATTGGGTAAAAACCAAGATTTCCCAACTCACACAGGCAGGCCACACGGCCGTGTGGCTTACCCAGTTGCCCGTGTGGCTTCCAAAACGATGCGTCTCAATTAATTGAACTTCAGGCTTCCCACACGGCCAGGGTCACCCAGCCGTGTGGAATTTCCACCATGCCCGTGTTTGCTCTCGGCACAAACCACACGGCCACAAGGGTGACTTGCACGGCCGTGTGGGTTCCAGGAATGCCCGTGTGGCTTCCTCAGCGCCTCGCCACGCGTCCGATCTTCGTCCAATCGTCCCCAAACTCGCTCTCAAGCCTCCATTCACGTACTAGGACCTGAAATATCACAAACAAGCACAACCTAGCATGAAATCGGCCTAAAACACGAGAATCCACATCTCAAACGGTGTAAGAATAGGGGTAAAAACATGTGCAATTAACGGTCTATCAAGTTGCTAGCAGCAGCTAAGGAGGAGTGTGTAAATTGGGCTCAAGAAAACATTGGACCAACAGTAATTGGGCCGACCAGAGCTCTTTTATGTGGGGTGGACTTGGAGGCAAATGAAGATGGGTTTGAAAGCTTATTTGGTGAGCTTTCAAGAGAGCAAAGCCCAAAATTAATAGAAGAAGCAACAATTCAAAGTTATGGGCTTGTTCCAAGAAAAATGTATGAAGGTCTTGGTGAAATGTTACTCAAGGATGGTTTCTTGGACATGAACGAATCGTTGGGTTCCTTGAGTTGTGGAATTATGAGGCCAACCAAAGCGGAGCTGGCAAAGTTCGAATGTGTCAAGGAAGCGAATATTGGGCCCATGCAAGTGAAGGTCGAAGAAAAGGACCAGCCCAAGAAAGTTGGTGGAAGAAGCCCAATATCGAAGTTGGAGCACGATTGGAAGAAACGGAAGCGCAAGAAATGGAGTAGTCAGCGTGCACATTGCGTGAGAAGGAAGGAGGAGTGGGTCAAGTGGATCAACCTTGAGGGCAAGGTTGGTCTGAAGGGGGAGGAGATGTTAGAAACCGAATTATATCGGGTTTCTATATTTATTATAATCATTATTAGGGTAATTCTTATTATGGTTAGTAGTCTTCTAGTAGAATTAGGTTTATTCTTAGGGTTTTCTAGTATTTCCCTATATATATGTACTTTGGGTCATTTGTCATATTAAGCAGAAGTTAATAAAGAATTATCTCCCTAAATTCCTATCCCAATCCTCTCAATTCTTGACCTCAATCCCTCTAAAGACTTAGGCCGATTCTCTTTTGTTCTTCCCCAAATTCTCTTCTCAAATCCCTAAATCCCCAATTCTGTTCTATAAACCCTAAATTCTCAATCTCTAGATCTGATCTAGAGACCCGTTAGAAACTTGTTTCTAACACTCTACACATTGAAGTGCTTGGGAGATCAATAGGAAGTCCAGAAAGACCGTTTTTGAACTTGATCAAAAGGTTATGCCAAAACTGGGAAACTACTTGAAAATGACCAAGTCTGGGAACATGTTTTTGAAGGCTGATTTGGAGCTCAATTCGAGAAGCATGGATGAGATTCGAGTCCAGGGGCTTCTACCAGATAAAAGTAGGTATGTTTTTCTACAAAGGCAAGGCATTGGATGAAAGATTGGATATCTGGAATGCTTCAAACAAAAGGCTCGAAGTTGCTACGAATTAAACTGCATTCGAGCACCGACAGAAAAACAGCCTTGGAGACCTACTATTGTGAGAGGATTTTCTCCATTTCCCCGGCCTCTCCTGGCCTGTTTTTCTTCTCTTCTTCTTTGGTTCCTTCAATACATTCAAAATGGCAAAAATAATCCTTTTTTTGTTTAGCTCAGTTGAAGCTAATCGTATGGTAGTATTTTACGGTTAAGTGTCAATTTTGGTTTAACTATAGTCTGCTGTTTTTACGGTTAAGTATTTTACGGTTAAGTGTCAATTTTGTTTAGCTCAGTTGAAGCTAATCGTATGGTAGTATTTTACGGTTAAGTGTCAATTTTGGTTTAACTATAGTCTGCTGTTTGGAGAGTAGAGGTACCTTCCTTTCCCACTTTCCAACCAGCATCCTGCTTCATCATTCCTTGAACATTGCTCATTTCCCCAGAAGTCGGCATGGAAGTCCCGCACCTGTTCAGCTAAGTAAAACACAAACTGCGTTCGAGTCGTCATCTTAAGGTTGTCGAACGAATCGTCTTCATCGTCATCATACAAGCTATATACAAAGGTGAACTGAATTTTCTGCAAGAAAGCTAATGACCGGCAAACAGCTAAAGGGCTAACGTCTTCGCTCTAACAAGGAACTTGACTAAAAAGAACATTCTGCTACTTTATTGTGACGCAAAAAATTACAATGGGTTATCCCAAAGCACGCCCGCTTACAGGTTACGTCAGTTGCAGAACTTTCCAACGGCTGGAGATTATGATAATTTATCAAAGGCAAACAAGAATGTAATGAAAGACAAATGTGGAACTTGACAATTACTACTAATCAGAAGGGCGATTAAATGGCCTGGCTGCCTCCCCTATTACAACCCGGCCTTGGGATCTCCAGCGCCAGCAGCAACAACTCCCATCCCTCCCGACTTCCCTTCCTGGCTCCCCTCTTCAAAGGCAACTTTGTCGCCGTTCACCTCCTCCACGAGCTTGTCGATCTTCCGGAACTGATAAGGCCACCTCACGTTGTACAGAAACTGGCGGAGGTCGAACCTGTTGTCCTCCGGCGAGTAACTCTGCAAAAGAGTTGTTACAAACAAGTTCCATGATCAATTCAAAAACCAATTTCCTATAAGTTCCAAAGCGACTAAATAGTTTTGATAGTAAATGAAGACAATGAAGTACCTCAGCGTGGTATGATGGAGTCAAGACAGTCATTTTGTGACGGTTGATTGAATAGTACTTGAAGAAGTGCTTCACTTTTTCGGCCACTTCCGATGGGGTTAATGTTGATCCCCACCTGAAGCAAAGATTCTGCAACATCACCACAGAGACTTCAGTAGTGAGAGTATTGTATCGAAATGGCGTAATTTCCTGATAGAGAAAATGAAACAGAAAGCATGCCTTGAACATCGACACTGGACCAAGCCGGTATATCTTTCGCAGTCTGCCATATACCGAGAGCTCCTCGTATGTCATTCCCATGTCCACTTCATCAAGCTATTCTCAGGGAAGGTACACGCGCATTAGGGCAAAATCATGGAGGAAGGTGACTGTAACAAGGGGAAAGAACTGAAGAGTAATAGGAGAGAATACCTGGCTGTAATTTGAGCGTATAGGCTCAAGTTCTGCTGTTGGTGGAGCTGCTTCGATTTCGGCCAAGGATGAATAGCCAAGATGTTTGGCAGCCCACTTCAGAAATGACCTAAGATCCATCTTGCTTATGCTTCCAATTGGATTTATATCTGCTGAGCTGCAATCATACTGCAGAAGATGCACTGAGGCAATAGTTAGTGTATGAGCAAAAAATTATGATTCCCTTCAAACAAACCAGGAATGGCAGAAGTACATTTGATTTGAAAAGGTACCATTCAACTAAAACAGTTCTTGCCACAATATGTTCTCGCTGTAAGCGATGAAGAAAATAGTAAGAGAAGGCAGATACCTCATATTTTCATTATATCTATTACGAAGATTGCTTAGGAATGTAGAAGCAAATAGACAAATTGCTAAATATCAAGTTTATATAACAGCTTAGTCTTCTTTTTGTCCCAATACCTTGGTTAAATAGCCTCGCAACCCTTCATCTACATTGGAGCTACCCAAAACAAGATAGAATCCCGGTTTATTGTGAACCCATGGTAGGAGTGAGGCTAACATGAATGCTAGAACCATTCTGATTCTAGCTTGGATATTCTGGAGGCCTAGGTTCTCAATGTTAGAACCCCCATCCACCTGTGAAATGAAACCAAGCTTCAAAATTACAGAATAAATGACACAATGCTCATTTGAGTCAAACACACAGCTCAGTCAACCGTTAAGGGAACAAGATATTAATCAAAGAACATACCAAGGAAGAATACATTTTTTTCCAGAAACTAACTTGTTGAGGTGAATGCTTTGTCAGGGTCCTGATTAATGATTATAGACTAAGTTTCAGGTATTGCAACTTTACCTTATAGCATGGTCGTTTCCCTGTAAGAGTTTGGAACAAGGAAAGGAATGCAGATACAACACCATCTATTGAAACGTTTAGATGCCATGAACCTATCTCATCTGCAAGAACCTTTGCCCGGGTTCTTGTCGCATCAGAACTGCAGAAAAAACAACTCAGTCATGACAAATGACCACATGAATCAGGTAATTTTGTATGAAGCGAATATAATCGTATATTAAGGAAATAAGGTTCAATTAGCATGACATAATCAAAAACTGAATAACCATGGCACCACCAACCTATTTTCAGTTCCCATATACACGGTATAAAAGATGCGCTTTGCCAATTCTTTGCTGTCTGTGGGAAACTGGCCATCAGTGTAGTGTCCAATGCGCATTGCATCAGCTTTGACTTGCTCGTCTCCGTTTGCAATCTCTGAAACCAATAAGAAAGCAGCCATAAAGCTTACATAAACCTAACCAGGGTTCCAAGATCATAAAGGCTATATTGACTGCACCAAATTGACCTTTTACAACAAGTTGACACATGCATCCAACTATTGCAGCTACTGACGAACTATCTGCTCCGCCAGACAGAGGAAGCAAATATCCAGAAGCTCCACTTCTTCTCAAATAGTCCCATAGCCAGCAACCAGGTCCAAACGCGATTTCCTCCTCAGGACAGTGATAGTTGATCTGAAAAGCACAGAGCACAATTAAAGTTGGTAAACAAACAAAAGTGGACTAGAAAGAGGTGAAATTTCATGAACACTGCAATAGTCAAAGCACAAGCCAGATCTAAAATCCCGTAAAAGTGAAGTATTGTTGACTCTAGCTATGCTTTGAACTAGCGGATACCTTCATGGGGCTAGAAAGAGTCGCTTTCAGGTTAAATGGCTGACATAGACTGTAAGGTGCTGCTACAGAAGGCACACTAGTTTTACAGCTAGCTTGCTCTTGGAAACTACTTGTGAATCCTCTTAGGCTAGCCACCTGCGATCAAGAAACAAAACCATTTTATAGTAGCCAAGCAATCAACAAAGAAATCTGGTGAAACATGGCATGTTCTGGATGCTAAAGAAAACCTTTGTGAGAGAGTTTAGACTCATACAGTAACATACTAAGCAGAAATTTTCAGAAAGAAGGACTACTATATTTGAGTAGGGCCGGAAGTTCTCTTACAGCATCAAGGTCCACTTGAGCAACCACAAGCTCAACATCTTTCAAGGAAAACTGTGAGCCTTGGGCGATAACTTCTCCATTTACAACAATGGCAGAGCATCCATCTGTGGCAAATAGTTCATTAGTTAAGAACTTTTCGACCAGTAAACTTGGTCAATCGAACTTGGGGATGAGAGCAACTAAGAGAATGTTAAAAGTACCATAATAAAGGCGGCCACCATCACATCCTTGGTGATTACTATACATATACACTCCTCCACGAGTAGTAGCACCCATAAAAGCCTCAAGACGGATATCAAGCTTTCTCAGTTGGTGGTGACTTCCACTTGCATTCATAAACACCTCAACACCATTGAGTGCGAGCTCATCATGAGGTCTAACCGGTGTAAAAAGCTCCTCACAAACTTCAGCAGCAACAGCTCTAAAAACAAGGTAAAACTAATGATATGGCAATCTTATAGGTACCGTATCATTTGTGGGCAAACTAAAGTAACTAATTCTTCAATCACTATGCAAAGGGAGAGAAGGAAATTCATACGTGTCTTGAAATTGAATGAACCCATATCCAAATGGCACCGATTTCTGGGAGATGGCCTCTGAAATGTCTGGCGGGAGCACAAAGTCATGCAGTTGATCCCTATGCTTCCAGGCAGTGAACCACCGGAGCTCCCTGTAATTGCCGTCGTTTGCCAGCCACATTTTCGGGCGGATCATCAGAATCTTTCGGTTCATGCACAGAATTTGACAGTTATACCGCTCGGAGCCTTTGAGCACGGGCATGCCTATACTGCACAATATTCCGTCGGTCCAATCTCCGACCAGAATCTCCTTCAAGCATTCCCACCTTCAGAAAAGACCGAAACTTTTCACTAAATTGGAACAACCCAGAATGAAATTGAAACGGCAAAGGGTGACTCACGAGTGGGTGACAGTATCGAGCTCGAGAAAGTGATCTTCGCAGCCGTAGCCGGTGACCTCGAGCTCGGGGCCTAGGCGAATGACGGCGCCGGCTTGTTTAGCTTCGGTAATCGACTCCTTTATGTGCTTCAAATTGCAGTTGAAGTCCATCGCCCATTGATTCAAATTGCAGGTGGCTAACTTCAGCAGCCTCATCTCCGCCGGAATTAGGAAGGGGTTTCAAGCCAAGCGAAGCGAAGGACGCAAGAACCGCCGATTGGGGACTGTGGATTCGGTGGAAAAGTTTTTGAGTGGAATGAGAATTGGATGCGTCTTGTATTTAAAGGCGAAAGCTTTTGGGGGGAATATTTAGCTCTGCCGGTGGCGTGGTTTAGGGGGCACCAACGCAGCAGCGGGTCTTGGACGGTTTATCTGATAGTCTGATGGATGGACTCAGGTCGATCGGTTTCTCCTGCATTTTTTCCCTGAGGAATAAACTAGAGAGATATGAGATATAGGGGGCTTGCTCGTATCGATGGTGGAGGCAGCGGAGCTCGCGTCTCGCGGTCACTGGTGGAGGATTGGAGGTAGGGGAGCTCACGGTCGGTGGTGGAGGCGACGGAGCTGGGGAGCTCACCGTCAATGGAGGCAGGAGAGCTTGCAAGTCGCTGGTGGAAGTCGGGAGATAGCAGTCACCGGTGGGTCGGGGAAGAGGGAGGCTGGATCGACGGCGGGGGAGGATGGATAGCCGGCGATGGAGGCTCGATCGAAGTTGCAGAATCCAGAGCACCTGCTGCTCTGTTGGAGAAAAGAGGACGAAGAAGTCAAATGGGGTGAGGGCCGAGGGGAGGGGTTTTGGCAGTAATGGCCAGGGTTATCGAGGGTAAATTAAATTGGTATGAAAAAAATAAATTGTATTAATTAATTTTTTAATAAAATATATTTTGGGCAGTTACAAAAATTTATTAATTGAATTATAGTTTTCTCTATTTTTCTCACTTACGTAATCTATAGTTAGATCTTCTTTTCTTATTTTTCTTAATCTTTCTAAAAAAAATAAGAAATCACTATCAATCCATTAGACAATCACAACTATTCGGAAAACACCAATACCATTATAACAAAAAACAAGAAATCAATATCAGTCCATTAGACAACCACTACCACTTCATAAAACACTACCATTGCACAAAACACCAATATCATTCAAGAAATAAAAACACTACCATTTCACAAAACACCAATACCTAGTGGTGGGCAACGATTCGATTCACATTGGACCGAATCGGACCGAATCGACGCTCACACCAAATCAGATCAAACTGTTTATCTTTCGATTCGACTTTGGTTCCTGAATTTGGGACATTTTCGGTTTTGGTTCGGTCCAGACAGAAACCATAAAATCAAGCTAAGGACCGGACCGAATCGTAATTAAATTAATTTCCTATTTTCTTAGGCTCCGAGAAGGCAAGTCGACTTGGAGTTGAAAACCCTAGTACCCTACACAACACTTAATTACCTACAAATATGATTGACTTTTCCTGACTTTGACTCGCCGCTCTTGCTCCTGTAGTTCTACCCTCAAATCAAAGTTCTCATCCGCGTTGCTTCGATCAAGAGAGCTGCTTACTTTACCTACACACTGTGAACCAGGTATTCAGGGGCGGAGCTACATTGTAGCTAGGGTGGGCCACGGCCCCCCGGGATTGGTCCCAGCCCCTAGGTCCTTAAGGATATTTAGTACAAATTTTATAAGTAGAACTTGTTCTGTAATTTCTTTCATGTAATAACTATGTGGTCTAATGCTAGCCAAACTTAACTTGTGTCTTAAAGCACATGGGTTCGATCTACGGGGAACTTCCAACCTCGGCCAACCTTCATCCAACAAAGGCCCCAACTCCAAGGCTCAAACTTTCAACAACCGTACCAACAACAAGGTGCCCTAGGGTTTCAACAACAACATCAACTCGACAAGTTATCCAAGCTTGAGGACCTAGTGAACACCTTTGTGAGTACGAGTAGCCAAAAGTTCGAGAAGATTGAGCAATTTATGGATGTGGCAACTGCCAAGTTTACCTCGGTTGAGGTGGGTCTCCGAAGCCATCAAGCGAGCCTTCAAAGTTTGGAGGTGCAAATCGGCAACCTTGCCGGTATCCTCACTGAGAGACCCAAGGGAACTTTGCCTTCCAAAACTGTGGTGAACCCCAAGGATCAAGTCGGGGTGAATGCACTTCAAGTGAGGAGTGTGAAGGTGGTTCCGGAGGTCGCCACGGAAGAAGAAATAGAGAAGGAAGAGTCCAACAAAGAAGAGACCACCCCGAAAAGAAGAGAGAAGAAGCCCTCGAGGAATGAGAGGAAGGCAGCAAAGCAGGCATTGCCGGAGGATGGATATGTTCCACCTCTTCCTTATCCCACAAGGATGTACAAGGAGAGGTTGTACAACGAGTGTGGAGGGTTCATGGAAATGCTATTCCTCAAAGCCATGGCGCAAATGCCAAGATATGCGAAGTAGCTCAAAGGATTCCTCATCAAGAAGCCAAGGCTTGAAGGCCTCGCCAACGCGACTCTTGGCGAGGAGTGCTCGGCTTTCCTCCTTGACCGCTTGCCCAAAAAGCGGTCCGACCCAGGTAGCTTTACTATCCCTCTTGATATTGGTGATCACCATATAGACAATGCCTTGGCGGACCTTGGATCTAGTGTGAATGTGATGCCCTACAAGCTTTTCAAAAAGTTAGAAGTAGGTGAACTTAAGACCTCTAAGCTTAGCATCACCTTAACCGACCGTTCGATCATTAGCTCGAGAAGTATAGTGGAGGACATGATGGTAAGAGTGGGCAAGTTTTGCTATCCGACCGATTTCATGATTCTCGACATAAGTGAGGACTCGGATATGCCCCTCATCCTTGGTCGTCCCTTTCTTGCAACCGCCAAGGCATTGATAGATGTTAATGAGGGAACCCTAATTTTGAGGGATGGTAAGGAGAGAATCAAGCTTGAAATTGATCCTAGGGTGAGGAGTGATGAAGTGAAGGGGGTAGTCTCAAATGATGTGAATGAGAGTGGAGGAGAGCCTCCTAAGGCAAACCCCACCATTACTTGTGTTGTCTTTGATGATGCTGAGCAGGAAGTTAAGAAGGGTCCTAAGCCAAAAGGACCAAGATTGAATGATTGGAGAAGAAGGATGAAGGGAGCTTTGACCCGGGAGATGGGGGGAGCTCGGAGGAAGGTTGGCCAACCAAGAGGGCCAACTCAATGAGCCTAAGATGGGAGGCTACAAGCCTCGCCCCGAGAGTGTGGTGGATCCACTCTCGGTGGCATCACGTTTGAAGTTGTGATTGATCCCCAACCGTCAAGCTAATGACGATAAACAAGCGCTTGTTGGGAGGCAACCCAACGGAGGTTTGTTTTCTTTTCTTTAGTTTTCGTTTTAGTGTATTGTGAAGGGTTCGAGTGGTGAAGTGTTATCCCCGTGCCGAATGTTGTGTTTTTGTTGTTTATGTTTGTGTTGTGATCGATTAGGAGGCACGGAGGAATAGGTTGACTCAAAATTTTTGCAGAAGTGCCCTGTTTTCACTTGAGTTCACAGACGGATTGCTGAGTTCACGGTCGCTAAGACCGTGAACAGGCAAACGCGTCCGTGAACTGGGCGCTGATGTATGTTCACCACCTGTCAACCAGTCCATGTTCACGGACGCATTTGCGAGTTCACGGTCGCTAAGACCGTGAACTGGGCAACGGGTCCATGAACTTAGAGTTGTGCCTATAAAAGGGGCATGAACGGCGACCCTTCACTTCACGACCAAAAACTCGCCGTAAAATTTTGAATCTTTGCTGAAAAACGCGAAATCCCGTCGTTTTTTCGATTTTTCCCCAAATCCGGCGATCAAAACCCAAAACCAACATCATACCCAGACCGGCGTGTGCTGAGATTTTGGGGAGATTTGGAGCATATTTTTCCGGCCAAGTCACCGGCGGCGAGTCTCTGGCGAGCTTCCGACGAAGCTCCAGTGACCCATCTCCAATCAGTTTTCCGACCATTTTTCACTGTCCTCGCCCGCACCTCACTTCCTCCCTCGTCCTACTTGAGTCTCCGGGTTTATTTTTCATCTTTACCTTTATGAATTGTGGAGAATAGGATTAGGTAGTGAAGTTATGTTGAAGTTTTGTGCTTGGCATGTTTGAATCTAGTTAGGGCGAGGACTTAGGTGAATTAGGTCGTGTGATTGATGGATTGATTATTGCATGAGCTTAGTGAGCCTTGGTGGGCGTGTTTGAATCAAATTGTGCTTATTTATAGAATTTGCCCACCAAGTGCTATGTTATGAATGCAAGTGGAGTTTGTTTTTGATTGGTGGATGGTAGCCACCGTGGTAGGGGTTGTGGTTCTAATTTTTGTGTGCTTGAACCATGAAATACCCACAACCATGCCACGGTGGTTTGAGCTTAAATGTTTTAGCCATGGTGGAAAAACAAGTGTGGGGGGAATATCTTTTCCTCCCAATGAGCGGTATATGACGATTATTTCCACATATGGTGTGTGTTTGTGTTTGTGCAGGATGGTTAACATGGATCACCCATATCTTGTGGCGCTAAGTAGCAACCCTGAAATGGAGCAAGCGGCGTTGTTCTGGGAATCCTCAAGAGTCGGTAACCATTGGAAACTCGACTTTGCCCAGTTCGATAGGCTTCACTACGGTGATGCTATGAGAGAGGCAGTGGTGCACCCCCAATGGCGCCAAGCACTTGATCTTGAAGATGACACTTACGGGGAGCTTTGCGTCGAGTTTTTCAGCACCTTCGCCATACGCAAGAGCCTATGCCTACTCGGTCATCCGGTACGCCGGGTCGAGTTCCATTTGGGAGGGGAACCTCTTGACTTGTGCTACGACGAGTTAGCCAGAGCCCTCTGAGTGGAATTCAACCGTAGGGACGAGTGGGAGGAAGACGCCATTCGAAATTTTGACGTGAATGCCGCGTTTTTGAAGATGTGTCTTCCAAAGCACCGAAGGACAAAGTTCAAGTTGGCCCTCACAACGACATCCACACTCCAGCCCCAGTGGTGTGTCATGTTTGTACTCCTGGCTCGTTCCCTTTACCCGGCTTACAACAATCCAAACAAGATTACCGAGAGAATCTTAATGGCGTGTGCTTGCATGGCGGACCGGTCAAGTACATTGCACCTGGTTTCAGTCATAGCCACATCTTTTGCCAGGGCCAAGGGGGGGGGGGGGGGCTTCGTTACGTCACGTCCATGGGTCCATACATCACCCGTCTTGCCAGATACTTCGATGTCAGCCTCTCAGGGTGCTCAAAGGAGGGAGGCGCTCAGAGATTTACGAAGGCACTGTGCACTCCATGCGCTTATTCGCACCTTTGGCCCAATGTTGTACATCAAGGGATTAAGTCCCGACCCCGAGGTCCCACCAGCAGCAGAGCAGCCATCTGCTCGTGCACCCGGCCGCTATCGGCGTCCAGCGCTCCCTCGCCCTGCACAGCAACCACCACCACCAGGAGCAGGCGATCCCCTCACTGAGAGGGTGGATCACCTTGAGACGGGCTTCTTGGGATTCTCATCCCGCCTTGAGCGACAGTCTGACATCCTCGAGCTCATGGCTCGACACCAGGGTATCCTACCCGAGTCTGGCGAGGGTCCATCACCTAGAGAGAGGTAGCCGACGAGAGAGACATGTGGCAAAGCGGAGTCCATTCGCTCCACTTCTCTACTTGTAATCCTAAACTTGAGTTTTATTTTTGTTTTTGTTATTTGTGTGTGTGTGACATGAACTACTACTATGTATTGTGCTTGTAATAACCTCGCCTCAAGCGAGTCGTATTGTGCTTGTGTGTGTTTTTTGTTGTCTCTCCTTGAAGCTTCA